GCCATAAAGAGGTCACTTCAGGCAAGCCTGAGGAGGGCCTGTGCCTGGGCCTGAGCCAGTGGGATGGAAGGAGAAAGTGGACACCACGGCAAGGGCCAATCTTCTTGCCCACACAGGCACTGTCCTGCCCCCGGGCCTGCCTTCAGGCATTCCAAGCTCTACACCGTACAATGTGCAATTCATCAGTCAGGTTTCTGCTTAGCCCTCAGGGTCCAAATCCAACACCCCTTCCTCTGAGAGGCCTTCCCCGCTCCCAGCCGCGAGGCCACCAGCTCCTTTACCTGTGCGCCCATCGCACCCGACTCACAGACTGAGTGCGCGAGGATGTGTGGGCCTAGTCTGACCTGGGTTCAAATCCCAGCTCCACTTACAAGTCTGTGACCTTGAGCAAATCCTTTCACCTCCTCTTCTGAAATGAGCACCTGCCTCAAAGGCTCGTGGAAAACACTAAAGGGAGCAGTCGGTGCCATGCCCGGCACGCAGGCTGCTCTCAGTCAGCTTAACTGTCACCTTTCTGTTTGGCATTCAATCCAGGTGCCCCAAATCGCAGCTCCCATTTGCTGACCCTGGGAGGTGCTCTTCCCAACAAATTCTGACTGAGGGAGACACTGAGGCTGGGGTGGAGACACCGCTTAGGGAGCACCAGCCAGCACCGCCCAGCTGGCAGCAGTGGACACCCCGCCTGGCTCCCCCAGAGCAGCAGTGGGAACAGCCTTAGGTCTGCCCAGCCCACCTGACTCCGTCCAGCTCCAACTCCGGTGCCAGGGCCTAGCCAAGGTGCTCCGGAACAATGAGGTCAGGGGTCATAGCATTAGACCCAACGGGCACCAGAGCAACAGGAGACAGCCTCAAATGGAACTGAAGTCTGTGCTGCTAGAAGCAGAAAATTCAAGCCCAGTCTGCTTGGGTGCCCATGACGTCTTCATGCTCCTTAGAGGCAGGGAAGAGAACCAGCTTTGCAGGCCCTGGTGTCTGCAAGATGCTATGTGCCCAGCACAGGTTTGCTACACTGGACAGAGAAGGGCTGTGGATTTTTGGGGTGGTGGAGGCCTCCTACATGAACAGGACTGTCTTCCAAATCCTGGCCCAACACTCCCCTTTGACCCACAGTCAAGTGACCCCAGAACTGCTGGGGCATTCAGCTGGACCCCGAGGCCAAGTCAAAGAGAAAGAGGGGACAGCCGAAGCAACCTTGTCATCGGAAAGGGGCCAGAGCTTTGCCACCCAGAGCCAGGCAGAGAACTAAGGCACAGACCCATTAACCAACTGCCTCCAACCTCAGTTCTACCCCACGTGTCTCCAAGGAAGCGGGGGCCACTAGGTGAAGGCTGCCAGCATCCTGCAATTCCGTTTTCTCCTCTCCGAAAAGGTCAACAGCTTGGGCCGCCCCCGTTTCCTCACAAGGGACACTGTGAGGGTGGCACAGGCAGCCTTTGCCCAGAAGGACATCCACGCTCTGCTGGAGGGTCCATTTACAAACATCTTTATGAGCCATCGAAGTGAACATATCCAGGACGACTTCACCTGCCCGTGTGTCAGGTACAGCAAGGCATGTGACAGGCCTCCTGGGAGAGGCCATGCTTTCTGCCCAGCTCACCGTGACCCCAGACAGGCCTGGATGTCCTCATTCCAATGTTCCGTGGGGGGTGATCTGGTGACATCACCATCATAGCTGCACGGATTCCAGAATTCCACAGTCAGGGCCGTAGATAAAGGCTTCAGACGAGCAAGTGAGCAGAGGCCAACCTATCTCCAAGTCAATTTAAACAGATAGATGTATAGAGAGAAGTAAAGATACAGATGCATTACTGAACCCTTCTTCCCTGACATGCAATGTCCTCGTGACTGACCCTGGAAGCAGCTGGTCCCAGGACCACGAGAGTCAAGGCTTTCTGAAAAGAATCAGGACTGCCTGACCATGACCGCCTAACCATGGCCATGATGCAGCCGCCCCCTGCAGATGGAGGCTGGGAACCCTCCTCAGTCCCTACGATTACAGGTCTGTGAAACCCCACTGTCCCCATCGCCACGACACCTGTGACTGCCTGTGCTCTAAGGAAGCACACAGCCTAAAACACAGCCCTCTGCCTGGATGCCTCCTGCCTCCCTTGAGTACCACCCACGCCGAGTTCAGAGGAACAAGGGCCCTGCCCGCAGCCCGCACAGCTGGTCATCCAGACACGTCCAGGGCTGGACACCCACCAGCTGGTTTGGGCAGATGCTCTAAGCACAGAGAGGGGTGCCTTCTGCACTTGGCCCTTTGGCTGGGACTTCCTGAGTACCACAGAGACAAGGAGAGAAAATGTCTGCTAAGCATCCAGTCAAGAGACAGAGATGCCAAGGGAAAAATGAAGAAAGAAGACAGATTCCTGCCCACTCCTCCGCTCCCAGCCTCTTCTCAGCTATGCTGGGCAGAGAAGCAACCCCACAGTGCTGGTGTCCCCCTAAGACTAACAGCTTCATTTGTTCACAACAGCGCCAAACTGCAAACAACCCAAACATCCCTCACCAATGACCAGACCAACAGACTGCGGTACGTCCATACGATGGAAGAGTCCTCAGCCAACAAGGAACTACGCATTCTGTGGGTCTGGGGCTGGGAGCTGACACTGATGGATACGCTGGGCACTAGGGATCTCTTCCAGGTAATGAAAATGTTCCCAAACTGGATTGTTGCAATGTTTGCACAGCTCTGCAGATTAAGTGCAGATTTAAAATTATTGAATTGTAAACTTAAAACAGGTGAATTTTATGATAGGTAAATTATACCTCAATAAAGTCGTTTTTATGAAAACTCTAAAAAAAGGAACTACTGATACAGGCAAGAACATGGATGAATCACACCAACCTAATATAGAGCAAAAAGGCCAGTTCAAAAAAGTACATACTGTACAATTCAATTTTATATGAAGTTTTAGAGGCAAAACTATAGTAATAAAGACCAGAATATTAGTTAGGTCAGGGAGCTGTTACTGACTGGGAAGGGAGACAAAGCACCCATCTACGGTACTAGAAATCTTCTCATCTTGATCTGGGTGGTGGCTACATGGGTGTATCCATATGTAAACATTGGTTGGGCTTGCACTTAAGATTAATGCACATTTTATATACATATATACAATCATATATATAAATATAAGGTTTATAAAGTTTTGAATATTTATAAATATATGAATTTTATATATATATACAAAGTCATATATAAATTTAAAAGTATATTTTTTTAAACAGCAAAGCCCACTGATGCTCAAATTGTAACTGGCATTGCCTAAACGTGAGGACAGTTCACTAGCAGCTGAGAGAGAAGTGTCTACTCAGTGAACTCCTACCCAACCTTCAGGACCCATCTCGAATTGTCCCCATTCGGTGAAGCCTTCTCTCACAGTTCTAGGTGTAACTTACTGCCCTTATTGCTGAGCCTCCCTTCACAAAAGTCAATCTCCTTTACACTGGGAGCTGATCCTAGAGGAATGTAGGAAATTGTTGCACCAAGCATTGGTTAGTATGTGTTTATTAAACACCCACTGGTTGCCTAAGACAGACACACACACACACACACACACACACACACACACCCCATGACAGCCCAAACCAGATGCCATCTCAGCAAAAGAGACTGATGCCCACCCCCAAATAGGATGTCAGTTTTCTGGCAAGAGGATCCAGGCACAAGGCTTATTAACAAAAGGGATCATTTTCAACATCTCCAGCCCAATCCTCCTCTTTTTACACAAATTTCAGCCAGAAGAGATCAGGGAGCACAGAGCAAACTCAGTTTCCAGGGCCCACTGCACTAGGCTACCCCTCCCCCCATTTCAGGTCACCTCTGCCTACACTGTCCCCGCCCCACCTGGGGGTGGAGCAGCTCCACGTGGGCTCCCAGGAAACATTCTATCAGGGGTAATGTTTAAACTTGACTGCTCGGCCACCCCCAAGCCTGCACGCTGCCCGCTGGGGCTCCCTGCCCTACAGCAGTAAAGGCAGTGCACCTGCTGGGGGGCACCCACAGCCCCATCACCCTCTGTCCAGGCCTCTCAGCTCTCTCTGGGCCCCGCCCCCGCCAGCCTTGGAATCTCTAGAAACCCAAGGCTGCAGGGGGAAGCTGCTAAAGAAACTTGCCCTGCCCGGGTCTATGTGCATGAAGAGAGGCCGGAAGTGGAACTCTGTCCAGTTCTGCAAAGCCCACAAACGAAGAGAGAGCCTGCAAACACACCTCCGGGAAAAGCAGCTTTCTTTGGGTGGGTGGGTGGCTTAGGCGGCGAGATTGTGGGTGACTTTTTCCCTCTAAATATTTTTGTGCTTTCTAAGTTTCCACAATGAATAAAGTCTTTGGAAAGATACACTTCATCTGTGGCGGGCGTTACCCCCAGCCCTTGTCAGACGCGCGGGCCACCCGAGTTTCTTTCACCTTCTCAAGCCAGCGTCCTGCGCCCCAGCGGGCGGGCCCCTCGCCCACTCCCCAGTGGAGCCCCGGGCCAGGGGAGGGGCAGCTCTCTGCGGAAAGTGGCTCCCCCACCGATCTGCGCCGCCGGCCCCCTTCTCCCCAGCCCAGCCCCTAAGGCACCGCCCCCCCATTCAATTCCCCTAGCCTCAGAGGTACTTAGGAAGTGTGCGAACTCACGGGCACACACACACGCACACACAGTCGCACTTTCTCCTCCCCTCCCTGACCTGGGCCGGCGCCCGCAAGAGCCCATGTACAAACTTCTCCAAAGTCGTAGCTGTGGCTGGAGGGGCAGTCGTGACGTCCCCCCAAGGAACATGGGACCCCCCCACACACAAACACACACACGTGTGCCTCCCCACCCCCTGGACAGTCTGGCAGGGGCGGCAATGCTGGGGTTTGGGGGCGGGTGTCTCACCCTCCTCCCCCCTAAGTGAGAGGAGCGGGGTCAGGACGGGGCAGGGCGGCGCGGGTCGCAGTTGCCCGGTGTGGGGCGGCTCCCGGGGCGACCCCGATCGATCGGGCGTGCCTTTCCGGGGAGGCTGAGGCACGTTACCTTGCAGGTTCTGGACTCGGATGTCGCTGATCTGCCCGATGAGCTCCTCCCGTTGGAACCAGTCCCACTCGTGCGCAGCCATGAAGCGCGGGCGGG